GCAAGCAAAGCATGCTTCTTGCATGTCCCGTTTTCTTCTCCATTGTTTTATTACTGAACTCATAGCATATATAAAAGCTTCAACTGAATTCTCTTTAAGAAAGAAGGAAAAAAAGGTATTTTGGTAGATAACGCAGAATTAGAGCATTAAAAATTCAAGATGCAATTGTTTGAAATGCCCAAAGCAAAAAGGTAATAACTAGCTTATGGCTCATTAAAGAAAACAATTTTAAAAACTTAACCCCATGGCGTTTGCTAATCATATTATGAGATGACACAGGAATGAGCTGGATATCCTAACAGCTCCCTCCCCACCCACAGGCAAGACCCCAGAAGCTCCTCTGAACTCCACCTGGGCACCCTCCTGATCTCCAGTGCTGTCTTGCTGTCGCTGGAGCAGAACCTTTGCCTCTGAGGAGGTCCTCCCATCTCTGCCTGGCCTCTTCAAAGCGGACAGCTCGCAACAATTTTATCTGCGGGTCCCACTCTGCCTACTCCAGAAGGGGTCTTTTTGGATTAGCTGTCACCTCTGCACCCTCCTCCTACACTTAGCCCAGCTTCCGGGACTCCCCCTGACCCCCGACTCCAAGTCAAACTCATGACCTCGCAGTAAGTTTAGAGAGACAACCAAACATCTTTTGAAGAGAATAAACTCAGTATTTCCAACAGAAAGAATGAAAAAACTTTGGGAATTCATAACCCAATGCTTAGCATAAATTCTGGCACTATGTTTTTGGATTAATACAATAGCAAATTTAGCCAGGATGAGGTACACCAAAGCCTTCTATGTACGTACATGTCTTTTTGAAATAAGCAAAACCTCATGTTTAGCAAAAAGCAAGAAGCAGCCATAATAAATATTATTAACTGAATACCTGCTTACACCAGGTACTGCATGCATATCCTCACACTCCAACATACATCCTGGCTCAGAGTAAGTGCTTAATACATTTTTACCTGTTACCTACATTTTGACGTCAACGAAAACAAGGAGCAAAAATTAAACTATGAGCCTAGGATTCAGGACCCTCTGGCTGCAGGGCCCCCCAGTGCTGCCTCCTCCTCCTCTCTCAGTAACTCCATGAAGGACTGCCGCAGATCAGCAAAGGAGGCTCTGAGATTCAGAGACTTGCTCAAGGTCACCCAGGTGGCAGGGTGGCAAAAAACTCCTGCTCCTCAACTTCTCCACTTATAGGACACCTTAGGAATGTGACCATCTGGGTAACCCGTTTTCGGACAACCCAGGTTTACCCTCCTCGCCCAACACACAAATTTCAAGTGGGGTCCATGCTAGGAACATCAAACTTTGAACCTAATGCAGTCGGTGGGCAACTCACGGAAGGAACGACCCTCTTAGACCTACCTTTATATTCTTTGTTAAGACTAAACTACCTGCCCCTCAGGCTGGATAAGCAACAAATGGACAAACACACAGCCTCTCACTGCTCTAGGGACCTAAAGGTGCACCTGGCTTAGCTGACCCTTTTACATTCAATTTCTGCAGATGGCAGAGCCATCCTGGTTGGGGGCTGGGTGACTGTGACCCCCCCAGGTCAATTCTGAGTGACCAGTAGATCTTCTTCTACTGCTCCAGCCTCTTCTTCCCAACTGCAGTCCAAAGTTGAACTTCTAGCCCCACTCTGTGACTCAGAGAAACCCAAACGACCAAAAACTGTGGCAAGAACGTATACCCTACACCAGGGAAGGAGTGAAAATGCAGCGACTTTGGGAAAACTTTTTCCATAGGTGATGATTTTGCATGTCTAGTGTTATGGAAGGATGAAGATCTGACAACACTGACCTCCCTATGTAGACTACAGAAAAAACTCTTTTACTTAAGTTTACTTTTTATTTAACAACGTTTTTTCTTCAATGTGTTTAAAACCTGAAAAGGAGATTGGTTCCTTTAAGGCTACACTGACTGGGATCAGAGATCTTAAAACAGGCTATAAACATGGGTGACTGATACAAATAAAAATGAAACTTTTTCAAATACAACATTGGTAAAGTAGGAATTAAACTTGATTCTTTAGGAATAAATTAGGCTTAAAATGTATTGATTATAATGTCTATAAAAAGTATAAAGATCAAAAAATTTTCACTCTGTTTAGGAATCCTTTCTCTAAATAAATTTTGGGAAATCATCTCAAAAATCTCATATCAGTTAGATTTTAGGCACCTGATGATGCACCTGACTACACTAAACCAGAGATGCCAATCCGGTTTCAGTGTGCCTGTCTGGTTCGATGAAGGACTCCCTCCCCTCAAAGTGGGGCAGGCAGACAGTGGTTCCACTCCGCAAACAGGAAACCCAGTACACTAGAGAAAAAGAATTATTAAAGATCACAGAAGTCTTGTTGGTAGAAGAATTTGATGGTCCTGTCTAGCTGCCTGCTTCACTCTCTGGAATACAACTTAAGGGGATATTTTAAAGTTTAAAACGTGAAGGGAGATTCTTAAGCTGATTTTCGGTATTTCTAAATCACTCCCTTTGTTATCATATACTATGCTTGTAAACTTAAAAAATTGAAATTGAACTCCCTGGTTCTGTGTCAGGTTGCTTCCATCTGAGATTCCTGGGGGCAAGTCTGAACTCCCTGAACACCAAGAGTTCTGAAGGTACTCTGATGTATGGTGGAAGAGGACCTCGCCTCCCACTCACACTAGGAGACCTGACAGCGAACATATCAACAGGGGCTATTATCTTCTTTGACCACACGTGTAGAAATGAAGATTACTTCTACTCTGCCTCTAATTCGTCAAGTAAATCATGGTATTTCAACTTCAGGTTGATCTCTTTCTTTTAACTATTTTATTTTTTAAAATTTTAATTTTTTTCATCTTCTTTTTTTGAGGGGGGAGGAAATTAGGTTTATTCATTTTTTAAAATAGAAGTACTGGGGGTTGAACCCAGGACATACGGCATGCTAGGCATGCACTCTACCACTGAGCTATGCCCTTGTCCCCCGAATTCTAATTTCACAAACAATCCTAGTAAATACCGAGTCCAGAGATCACATTCGGAGTCCCTCTTGCAGTGAAATCCTGAGACAGAAAATCTGCACACCACAGATGATGGTGTTTTACACCAAGTTTGTTGACAAAGGCAACACAAAACGACTCAAGCAGGAGGACGTGTTTCACAGGGATTTCACCTGCAGCCACAGATACAGGAAGTGCCTTCACCTGCCTGGAGAAGTCAGATGTTTCTTTAAAGAAATATTTCTTCAGCTTCCACCCATCAGTCCAATAACAATGACAGGTCCTAACATTCTGGCAGTTTCAAGGTGCACCTCCGACAGATGTTTATCCGGGACTCTGGCCAAACCTATTTATTATTCTAGATCTTTTTGATCCTCTGCAGCAGCCTAAGGTTCAGTAAACAGGTAACTGGGCTGCTCAATTACTGATACCCTAGACCAACTACAAATAAGTGGTAAGAAAGGCTGATTTCAGAAAAGCTGGTTTCATTTACTGCTCTGCTTCTAAGAGCTGGAGAGAAGGATTAGCTAGCCTCACCGCCTCATTCTAAGGGAGAGAAATGAAGGCTAAAGAAGAGGTTTACCCAACGCCCTACCGTTGGTTAGGTACAAGAACCTCCAGGCGGCCCTACAACAGCCTGACAAAATCTGCAATTCCCCCAAAATATTTCACTGGATGTTTCCATAGTCAATAGTGGCTAACGCATTGAAGGGATTCTTATGTGCGGTGCCCAAGGAGTATAGCAGCTCTGCAGTCTGAGACTGGAGAGCTGGGGTGACAGTACACCACGAAGAGCCGGGGCTCCAGGGTTAGACGGCCCAGGGCTGAATTCGGGCTCTCATGCTTTCTGGTGGTGTGACTTTGGGCAAGTTACTAAAATCTCTCTATGCCTCAGTTTCCGCTACTATAAATCAAGAATTATCTTATCACCTACCTTAAGGGCTGATATGAGAATTAAGTGCAGTAACAGAAAGTGATCATTTGGCACCGTGGCCCTGCACAAAGCAAGCACTCGAAAAACGTGAGCTATTATGAACACCACGCAGACCAACATTCACTGACAACACATACTGGAGCAGCTTTGCCTAGGATAGCCAAACCTGGCTAGTTCTGATCACTGGCAAGCCCCGGCCGGAATTAGAGATTCTCTGGCAGGCCTGGAAGACCGCACCCAGAGGTTTAGAGAGAAACAAGCCACCTCACGACCTGACCTTGGAAGCCTTCCTGCCCTTCCCGCTGACCTCAAACATACTGGTCAACAAGAAAGGAAACTTACTGGCCACAGTGGGAGACTCTTTCGTGTTATCTTTTATTTGGTGAGGAAACGGGGTATAAGCGCTTGGCGTGTGGAAACAGGAGCGCGTCCTGAGGCCGCAGTGGGGCATCACTTCTTTTCTGACTAATTCCCACTCTGGGCCTCCAAACGGAGGCTGTTTGTCCGGAACGCTCTTCCTTCCACTTCTGGGCAGCGGCTCAGGAGAAAGGAAGACACAAGCCACGTGCCTCTGAGCCTGGACTCACTTCAGAGGCGCGATGTCCCCGTGGAAGACTCGGGGACGGGACAGACCCCTGGGGAGACTCCCTGGTGGCCTTGACCTTGATGCCTGAGACTCAGTTTCTCATCCTGCCGGCTGGGCGCGATGGCACAGTCCCCCAGCCAGGGCGGGTGTGTGAGCCGAGCGCGGCAGCGGGTCCCGGAGGACTTGGACCCCCTACTCCGCCCCCACCTCGGGGACCCTGCTCCCTCTCGGGGGCTCGGGGCCTCTGGCCTTGCCTGTACACGGCGTACCGGCCGTAGAGAGCCGGGGCGGAGGCGGACCGGGATACGCCCGGCGCAAGAGTCGGGGCACTGGGGGCCGCCCGGCCGGCCGGCGGTCGCGCACGTCAGGCGGGGTCACGCGGCCTCCCCGCCGGGCCCGGCCGCCCGAGGCGGGAGCGGGGCGGTCACCGCCAGCCCGGCCCGTCTCCGAACGACCGGGCCCGGCGTCAGCCCCGACGGCGGCCCGCCGCAGGCCTCACCTCCCTGCGCACGTTCAGCAACGAGTAATAGTCTTCATTGTCCAGCTCCTCCTCGCTCAAGGCCGTCGCCATCTTCGCAACCTTTCACCTCTCCAAACCGGCAAGGCCGTGCTCAAGAGGGACCGACGGTCCGCGGCCCAGACAGCGCGGACTGCCGCGGCGTCCCCACAGCGGCCGCTGGCGGCCCGGAGTCGCGCCGCCGCCTCCCGCGCCCGGAAGGAGCGCGACTGCGCACTGCGCCCCCACGCGGCCGAGGGCGGGACGCGGCGCCCCGCGTCCCTCCACGTGCTGCCCGCAGACATACAGCCCGGCCTCGTTCCCCTCCGGCTGTGCCTGGGCTGGAAAGGGAGACTTTGCAGTCGCACCTGGGGGTCGTCCCCAGCTGGGCTCCGGGGAGATAAGCTCCTGCGACACCCCTTGTCTCCCCCAGTGCGAGGCTCATCCACATCCCAAATATAGCCCTACCTGAGCCGAACCACCAGCCTCCTTGGTGGCACCAGAGGCCGCACTTGCTGACTTGTCTTTGCACAGAAATCTTGTAGAATGGCATGTTCCTGCCTCCGGTGGTCTTTGCGTTTTCTCTGGACCACCTGGAATGCTGCCCGGAGGATGGCCTCTTCATTTTCGTTTTTTATTATTGCCCTATATTTGAGGGCACCTGGCCAGTTTTGTGCTCCTTACATGACAAGGCAGTAGCCATTTGGTTCCCCCCATGATTGTCTCAGGCAGGCGTATATACCTACAGACCCTATTCCAGAGCCTTTCTCTTGTAAATTTCTGCGTTGAACTTCAGCAGTGGAGACTAACTGATTTCAACCCGGTGCCTGCTGTTCGGTGCGTTGTTAAAGATGTCTCCGTTACAATCGTATGAATAATTTAAATGTCTTTGAAATGATGCAGTTATCAAGAGAAGGTGAACAGGAGAGCTCCCATGCTCTTGTCATCTGTTTGGTTCATGCTAACCTGTAACACTTCTTCATTATTTCTCAGAAACGTTTGTTCTTTAACTAACCATCGATTTAGAACTATCCCTGTTGCCCTGCCTAAGCAGGTCTCCCGGGAAGCCCCAAACACCTGTCTGTGGATTTGAGAAGTTGATTTCTTTCTCCTCCTAATTTTTGACCAGATGTGCACCATCTGGGGCCGATGTGTGGTCCCTTCCAAGTTCACCGAGCCCTCTTAAGGATCTTTTGGCATGAGACACTTAGGTGTGCAGAGACCAGAGATTCAGGAGTGTTGAGTCAGTCTGGAACAGACTGTCAGCCCAGGTTGTAAATTAAGAGCTATTTCTTTATCTGTGTGCCGTTTCCCCATAATGGCTTTCACAGACACTCATGTTCTATGAGCTATAATAGCAAATTTTTAATGGTCTTTCCTTTTTTCTCCTTTGCAGAGCAGTGATTAGGGTTAAACAGCATGCTGAGATTTGCTGGTCTTTAAGAATTTCTTACAGAGAGACTGGGAGGGAGGACTGCAATATTGAGACATTCCTTTTTTCCTTAGGTTTGTAGACATTAATTGGACCATAATGCTCAGTTGGGGAGAGAAGTTCTTGCCATCTTTCCTCTGCTTTGGGAAACACTGCCTCTAGGAATTACATGAACGGAACATAGTGTGTGTCTCAGAACGCCCAGGTCTGTATTTCTATGATTGAGAGTGACCTGGTTTTTATCACCACTGAGACAAAATAGATAGTGGCTCGGTGATGCTCTGCATGTTTGTCCTCTCTTGGGCCCTCGGTATTTTGTATTATGGTTACTTGGAAAGTAGTTGTGATAAATGGGAAATAAACTTAGATACACCACAGCCCTGAGAATGTATTTACTTTGGAGGTTGGCTCTCTTGTTTCTCCCCTCCAAAATCCCCAATTTAGGCTGGGTGAAATAATGGAAACCAGGAGCACTACACATTTATAAGTTAACACAGACATCTAACAAACTACTCATGCCAGACCAGTGACAAAACTCATCCACGTGAACTCATTGCCTTGCACTTTCTATTTTTTCTTGGGTAAGGCCACAAAGCAATTTGTGACTTAGCTGCAAAGCCTAGTATACTTACGTAATATATTTATACAACTATATATACATGTATATATATATTACATATGTATGTATACTTGTTATTGAATTTTCTCATCTTTAAACAGTAAATATAAGGTTAGGGTGGGTGGGCGTCTAGCTCAGTGGTAGGGCGCATGCTTAGCATGCACAAGGTCCTGGGTTCAATCCCCAGTCCCTCAAGTAGAAAAAAAAAAAAGAGGCTGTCTGTAAGGATGTTTACTTTCAACATCATCGTGTTCAGGATGACCCCAGGACATCTGGCTTCCCAGCACAGCCACAGGAAGCTTCCTCTGTTTAAGGTCTCAACTTTGGGCCGCCCTTCTAGCCTGGAGGGTTAGGATTGCCAGATTAAATACAGGATGCCTATTAAGTTTGAATTTCAGATAAAAAATGAATAATTGTTAGGTATATTAATCTTGCATGGGACATACACATATGTAAAAAAAAGATTCACTGTTTATCTGAAATTCAAATTCACCTGGGCGGCCTATATTTTTTAGGCCCTGCATCTGGCAACCCCAGCTAGAAACCCTACAGTCCTTCCCGTTCCCCTGAGTGATACTCCTGACCAGTGAGAGGAACAGCCTGACCCAGGTCCTCCTATCATTGGGCCGAATCCACAGCCCTTCTCTGTAATTCAGGAGGAAAAAATTACCTGTAGTCTTTCCCTTATTCTCTTGTCACTGGGTCCCGACTGGGACTTAGTATTTGCTGGCCAGCCCTCCAACCCTCCTCATGAGCTCTGTTAACGCTGCTGAGAGGAGTTAGTAGGGGGAAAAATCCTTAGCTGGAGAAAAGAAGGAGCAATCTGCAGGCACTCAAGAACTAAAATTTTTTTTTTTAAAATTGAAATACCGTCAGTTACAATGTGTCAATTTCTGGTGTACAGCACAATTTCCCAGTCATGCGTATACATACATATATTTGTTTCCATATTTTTTCATTAAGGGTTATTACAAGATATTGAATATAGTTCCCTGTGCTATACAGAAGAAATTTGTCTTTAATCTATTTTTGTATGTAGTGGTTAACATTCGCAAATCTTGAACTCCCAAATTTATCCCTTCCCAACACCTTGCACACCCCCTGTAAGATTGTCTACTATGTCTGTGAGTCTGTTTCTGTTTTGTAGATGCGTTCATTTGTGTTCTCTTTTTCCTTTTTTTTTTTAGATTCCGCATATAAGTGATATATGGTATGCTTCTTTTGAGAAGTAAATGTTCTTGGTGTTATCTCTCCCCTTAGCATCTCAGTGACTTGTCATTGTCATCTTTAGCCAAAGTGATAATTGCAGGAGGGTGGAGTCACCAGAGGAAGAGCCACACGTGCTTGAGTGAGATTAGCAGCTGGGAGGCTGAAGAGCCTAACCCCAGGGGCAGCCTCGGTGCGGCGGCCAGAGACGGGTGCAGCAGTGCAGAGACTGGAGGCCTCAGACCTACCAGTTTGAGACTTTGCCCTCCTGTCTAAGTATGCATCTCCAAAATCTCCAATTCAGAGCTTCTGCTTTTGGAAGTCTGCATCCCATCTACGGTGCCATCCATTTGCTGTGCCCTTAGTACTTACCGGTTTTCCCTGCTATTTGCAACTTCAGGTCCTTGGTCCCTATGTGTTAACCTGTCCTAATCCATCAGCTCCCAGCTGGGGTCCTATTCCAACCTGCTTTCTCGGCCATTCAGTGATATCAGAATCCTTTGACCGTTGGCTCTGTCCACCACATCTGTTCCCAGTTCAGTTTCTCTCTCTTATCTGCCTTTCCCCACTCCTCCCAGGCTGTCAGGAGGAGCTGAGGAAAGTGACAGAAGATACAAAGGTGATGTTATCTGACTTCGCCTGGCCCCCAGTGTTACCGGGCAGTCCTATGACACTCACCTCTTATTAACACCCTCACAGTGTCTACGCAGCTTATTGTTAAGTTTGAGACGGTACCTGGAAACGGGCACTGGCCTCTCAGCAATTTGCAAGAGGGAAATGAATTCTGTTCTAGTGGAAATAACGCCCCAATGTGTGTGTGTTGGGGTGGGGAGCAGACAATAAACGAGTTGGTTAATTAAGATCACTTCAGATGCGAAGTACCGTGAGTGAAATGAAACACAGGTCTGTGATGATAGTGGAACATCTCAGAGGGAGGGAGGTCACGTGAAGTGGGTTGGTTATGAAGATCTATCTGGGGAAGTGATTTTGAACTGAATGACAGGAAGGATCTGGCTTTGCAAGACCGAGAGGAAGGACCGCCCAGTGAAAAGCCTCAGAGAGGAGAACAGGTGTGGTGTGCTCCAGGGACAGGTAGGGAGCCTGCAGGTGGGGGCAGGTGGGAGAAGAGATGTTGGAGAAGCTGAGTCAGGGTGGGCTCATGGAGGGCAGTGATCAAGAATTTAAGCCCTATTTTAACCACAGTGGGGAGCTATTGAAGGATGTTAAGCAGGAAAAAGACATGGTCTGATTCCCATTGCCAAAAGATCACTCCAGGGAGACCCGGTTTCAGGGGGCTGGAGGAGAAGCACCCCCACCTCCCTTGTTGGAGGTTATTGCAGTGTTCTCGGGAAGAGAGGACAGTGGACTTGAACTTGGAGTAAGCAGTGGGGATGGTCAGGCATGGAAGATGCGCTGAACCGCAGTCAGCAGGATCCACTGTAGGTTGGGCCTGGGGACACAGGAAGGAGAGGAATGAGCAATTATGCCGGCATTTTGGTTTGAGCTACTAGATAGTAAGACCATGTATGGGGCCAAGGAAGACTAGGGAAGAGAAAGGCTTGGGAGGGGAGTAGCCAAGAGTCCTGTCTGGAGAAGAGCCAGGTCTGTTAGGTCTTCATGTGCAGGTGGCACCTGCCACTTCTGCTTCCTTTACCAGTAATTCATTTCGTGCAACCAGGCTTTCGTCTTCTGCAATTCCTTAAACTCCCCTTCTTGAAGTTTCCTGTGACTGCATGAACCCCAAATCCGATGGCCTTTGTTGAATTGCCATCTACCTGGACTCTAGCCAGTATTTTGATGTTACTCACCTTCCTTGTGGTAACCTTTCTGTCCTTGATGGCTTGACTTCTTCTCTCCCTTAACTTCTGTGTTTCTCTGTGTCGACCCCTTTTTCTTCT